CCTGCTTTAGACCTTTGCGTATAGAATAGGAGAAATGCTATTGTAGAAGCCAAAGCAAATGCTCAATAAGTAGTTCAGAGGAATAGAGGACACCATTGACACAGCTGACATATGGTAGCCGCTTTAGGTGCTATGTATCACTCAGCAGCGCATGGGCATGATATGGACACTTGCACAGCAACACTTTTGACATCATTTTTCTGACTTGCAATATAGCCACCAGTGGTTGGATTCAATTTTTTTTACTACCGGTTCTGTGAGTGTGGCTTGGTGGGTGTGGCAGGGGAAGGATACCGTAAAATCTCCAGTCAGAGGTGGTATTTGGCGGTTCTCCGAACTATTCAAAATTTAATGGTTCTCCAGAACTGGTCAGAACCACCTCTGATGGTCACATAGGGCATGAGGTGGTTGAAAACCCTGCTTTTCATTAAGTGGAAAGAGGATTCCCAATTCAATCTTGGTGATCAAGCAAGCTCATGAGGCACAAATTGCCACTGGCATTGAGTTTATTCCATGGGTTTCTTTTTGGGGGAAATGAGAGATCAGCCAATATGGACATTCAACTTAAGATGAATGACTTTGGAGGAACCTTTCTGCTTCCCCATTTCAACCCACTTCTGCTTCTCAAAGCAAGAAGATCAGCAAAGCTGGCTTGACAGAAAATTCTCTTGGCCTGAACTGTACTGTCCTTGTTGTCAATCTTCATCCTTCCTCCACGATGTCCATTCCCAATCACTGCCAGTTACCTGATTTCTCTCCGGAGAGATGAGTGACAAAGCCTAAGAACATGAACGTGTTTTAAGATTGCACTTGAGTGGGATTAGAATAAGAGGAAAATGCTACTTTAATACAGCTATAGTTAAGAATAGTTTAAGTGTGTTTCATTCATAGGCTGGGAACAAGATAAAAGCAATGTCATGCAGACATGGCAGGAAAAGAGTGTTCCAGGGTGCCAGGGTAAGGTACAGGTGGGGACATGATTAAAGATTTGCAGTTGCTCTTTGTTATTGCAGATGTGCAGCCTGGGAAGGAAATTTAATGCTTTGGAAGACTTTCTGGGCTATAGAACAGCACTATTACAGAAGCTAGGGTGAGCGTTTATGAATAGATCAAGATGCATAGCCTTCTGCTTGAAGATGAAAAATGGAACTGCTCAACGCTAACAGATTTCCTGTAGGCTTTAAATCAGATGAAGAAATCCCTGCTGGGCAAACATCTGTGTGATGTTTGTTCAAATTTTAAGTGGAAAACTGGAATACAGAGAGGCCTTGAATTAAGCATTGGGCCTAGGCAACAGAGCTTGAATAGTTATAAAGCAGCTTTGGCTGGCTTATGTTTACATTGACTAATTTTTTGCGTTTTGTGCTGGGTTTTAAAATGATTGCACAAATATGTGATCACCCTGGGATCATTTAACAGTAAAGGGAAAGATGAAACATTTAATTAATAAATTTATTTGGTGACAGGGTGAAGTTAATAGGCAAACTAATATCTCCCATCTCCAAACTTGTATTTGCATTTAACACAACTTATATTGCAAATAAGATTTTGTAAAAACTCTATCTATCCATCTACCTATCTATCATCTATCTATCCATCTCCCTCATAAAGCAATTCTGGGTGGTGAACAAAAAATACATAAAACATAAAAGCTATATATAATGATTACAACAAAAATAGTTAAAAAGAAGACTAAAATAATTAAAATTCAAAATTAAAATTGTGTATATTGTAGCATTTTCAGGGTATTTATAATTCAGTATGTAATTTCAAAAAATTACAGTCCACAAGTTGTATCCCATTGGATGGTCAGCCCAGGTAATTCATAAATCATTTCCCACGGAGCCATGATATGCTGGTGGCAACTAGTTTGGCACTGTGGTTAAGGCACCAGGCTAGAAACCAGGTGACCAGGTGTTCTAGTCCCACTTTAAGCATAGTACCAGCTGGGTGACCTTGGGCCAGTCACAAGGTCTCAGGTCTGGGAAGCAAGTAATAGCAAACCACTTTTGAAAAAAAAAATCTTGCCAAGAAAACTCTGAGGACTTGTCCAAGTAGTCTCCATGAATTAGAACCTCAAAGGCACAATACACACATAACATACAGAGGTCCATCATAAGTATACTATATAGGGTATAGGTATCATGGTATAGGGTCTTCTGCTTGAGGAGGTCCAAGGTCCCTTCCAGCTCTATCCTGATTGGTTGAGTGATTGATGATTGATTGATTGATTGATTGATAAAGAGCTTCATATTCAGTGCAGCTCATAGATAGTTTGACTATTTGGGATTGCCATGTTAGAATATTGCCAATGTCACCAATCAATATTTTTTCTAGTATTTTTTTCTTTTTTCAATATTTTTTCTGGGCATTGGGCACCCTGATCAGATGACATTTTAAAACTAGCAGCTTCTTGTAAAACAATCTTTTTACAAGTTTGGAAGCAAAAGGTACTATGCAAATATATTTAAAAATAAACTTCAGAAACAGACATACTCATGTAAGGTTTTACAATGAAATGGATAAAAATGGCTGGTTATTCAAAAGATTAGAGGTCAAATATGCTCAGAAAAATTGTCAATTAGCCAAAAGTGAGCTAAAATTATTAATAAATTACTGGTTGTTATGATAACACCACTACCCTACCCTATTTTTTTCCATGCATATATTACATAAGTCCATCACGTGATTTCTATCCACACTAGTAAAAGCCCAACTTAATTTGTATAACATTTAGAAGATTGCTTTAGAAGAAGCTTTTAGAAGATTGTGGTTATTTTAACTTTTTAGACGTGTCTGACTCTTTATAAGAGCAAGTGCTCTCCATGCTACCATGTCAAACGCAGCTTCTTTCAGTTGTTGGGTGTATCAGCTTTGATGGTATCAAACCAGTGAGTTCTTTGCTTGCCCCTTCTTCTTGATCCACTAACATCATTGCCTTCTCCAATGAATTAGCAGATATGACATGACCAAAGTAAATCAAAGCAGCTTTCATAAGATACCTAGGATTTTTAATCATTAACTTTCCTTGTTTGCAGCACTGGCTTTATTAGCTTTGTTGTTTTTTTTTTATCTCCTGCTAAAGTGACTTGGCACAATTTATCAGGTCAGCCCCATATTTTTTTTTCTGACATCTAAACTTCTTTGAATACAAACTCACTGATGTGAATTGTCAAAGAAACAGAAGGAGCTCCCAGTTAAGTGAAATTAAAGCTGCTAATTTAGTATCTATGGAATTTAGCATTAAACATGAGTCATCAATAGAGGTCCTTTGAGTACTTTATCAAAGCAGAGTTAGACATTTTCTCTCCAATTTGCAGTAAAAGAATGTTACCACTGCATTACTACAGATATTGATTTGAATTCTGTTCTATGCTCCCTTTATCTTTCTTACTACATCCATTACTTGTTATATCTTACAATATCTGCTAAAGATATTGGAATTTCTATTCCCCAAATTAATAGAAGATACCTGATTGGTTTAGTCTGCAGTCTAAAGAAGACAACCTTGGCAACTTTAAGATGTGTGGCTGGGGAATTGTGAGAATCAAAGTCCACACATCTTAATGTTGCCAAGGTTGAGTAACACTGACCTCAAGGAACTTGACAACTCCCACATGATATAGTTTGGTGCCACACTTATTCAAAAGGCGATATCATTCTATATAAACTTGACATGTAATGCAAGTCTACAAAGCTCTTACTACATGTACAGTGTAGCTATTTTGCAAAAGAGAGAGGAGAGTTTAGTTAAAACATACCCTTAACATGAACATCTGAATGTTCTTCATTTTTATCTTTTAGTGGGCACAATAAAAGATCCAGAGTATTTCCTGTCCTGTTCAGCAAAATACCATAATCCAAACTGCTTTAGGCATATTCTCCCGCACCTCTGTCCCCAGTGGAAAAATTGACAAGTGATATAGGCATTCCATTCTTATATTGCTGTTCTTCTGCACGAAATCTTGAAGTAGTTGGAATATAACAAGCTAAATGCTATCACTGAGAAAGTGCTAACCTAGCTGATTATAGAAACATTAGACAATAATATTCTAAGCTTCTATAACTATGACAAATCTGAGATATTAAATCTTTGAATCCTTTCTTTTCTAATCAGTTATTGTGAAATAAATGTGTGTGTATATTTATATTTGTAAACATAATGCAATGACTTAGATTGAGACTAAATTAGTCATGCTTTAGCTTTACTGAAATAGCTTCCATCTGGAAGATGGAAAACACTGCAATACAGGGAAGGATATACAAATTTCATAACTCGCAAATAGAACCATGGGTGGTTTGTCCTACTAAAAAGTTGACACTGATTTCAACCATCTGAATTGATTGAGATTATTTTAATTAGGAGTTCATTTCCCTGAGAACAATCAACCATGATTAATTTAAGCCTTATTGTTCTTTAGGGCTTATGGGGGAGGAATGGATGTGAAAAAGGAAAATCAGCAAAATCTTCCTTAATGCAAAATCACCTGCTAATATAAGATATTACTTTAAATTCATAGATTGAATAACTGTGTAAAATAATGTAGACACATCTTTTGTTATTAATAAGATGGGAGAGGTATCTGTGTGTCTGTGTATTAAACAGTATTTTTTTAAAAAACTTTTTTTTCCTTATAAAATGCATTTATTTGGAAACTATCTTAAACCTAAACATGACAAGGAAAGTTCTATCAGAATCTCTCCTTTGTTCCTCTGAACAATTTAAATGCTGCAAAGGAATGAAAGTCTGTTTTCCATCACTTTAATTCCACAATTCCTTTTTAAAAGAAGAAATGCATCATGTGTTCTTGGTGCCATCTTACTCCGTCCCTGCATTTAAGAAATGCTTTGTGGTCAGGCTTGTCAAAGGCTTATTGGACTGAAGGATATAATTTGCTTTTCTGCCTTCCCAGGCAATACCCGAGAAGAGTTGAAAGAGAATTTCTTCTGATGAAGAATAAGTTCTGCCAAGCACTGAATATTACCCGGTAAGAGACAAAATGCTAAAAACAACCCTACGGCCCTCCTGTCTCCAACCTCAGCCCAACTGTGCAGGCCCCAGCAGAGTTGACCCAAATCCTCACATTATTAAGAATTCCAAGGCTGACCCTGCAGAAGGCAAAAGCTGTTTGGCAAGGCTGCAAGGAACGGGAAATGATAGTAGCCATGGAGAGCAGGAAAGGAAAGAGTCAGCCAGAGAAAACCTCCAGAAGGAACCTTGGAGAGCTAATGGGAATGTCCTCCCCCACAAAAGCAACGACAAGAGGCCGTGGTCCAATGAGAAAGGAGACTCTTCGTGGCCTGTTTCTGATGGGATGGATTCTGGGATTAACAACAGGGACCATCAAAGTCAAGAATGGAAAGTGGTGAAAGTGAAACGAGTTCTGCTTTCTCTGGCTGATGAACCTAGGAAAGCAAGTAAGTATGAGCTCACTTTTTAATCATATAATCCTGCTTCAGCTGCAAGAAGAGAGATAAGATAAGCATTTGCTGATCAGTAATCAGTAAAAGTGCAGCCTAACGAGGCAAGGATATTAGAGGCAGGTCTAAGATATGTAGCCCTTTTTTCTCTCCATCCATGCATTCTTGGCAGGTGCTGGAAAAAAAACTGTCCCTCAATTTCTATTGTTGTTGTTGTTGTTGTTGTTGTTATCCCTCCCTGTTCCTCAATACCTTTATTAAGAAAAAACTAGCCCTCAGTTCCATTGGAGTCAATGAGACTTTCTTGAACCCATCTGCAAAGGTGGTTTGGCAGACATATTAAGCTGATCTCTTCAGTATCATTTTCTATCATTAGCTAATCATTATGAAACCTTTGCCACTAATTTGTAAGTTCTTGCCACTTTCAATGCAGCTTCAAATCAAAAGGACTCTCCTTTCTTGGGGAGAAGGCAAGTATTGGGTTGTTTGGACGTTAATAGGTTAAATAACAATTACAACATTTAAAAAAAAATCCCCACAGGATTTACTGGAAGTGAATTCTATAATATGACTGAAAATACAGACAAGTGACTAGTGTTGTGAATTTGCATATGGCTGTATTAGAGGGGGAGCGAAGGAAGGACAGGCTGCAGTTTCTAATTCTATCTGGTCAATAATATGTCAAGTTTGGCCTGAACATGTTATCAATAGTTCTTGACTTAACAACCATTCAGTGACCGTTCAAAGTTACAGCGGCACTGAAAAAAGTGACTTATGACTGTTTTTCACATAACTGTTGCAGCATACCCACGGTCACATGATCAAAATTAGACTGCTTGGCCACTGGCACAGGGGTAGAATGCAAATATTTTTTACTACCAGTTCTGTGGAGGTGGCTAGGTGGGAGTGGCCATGTGACTGGGTGGGCATGGCTTCTTTTTTTCCCCTCGCTACGATCAGCTCTTCCAATGATCAGCTGTGCCGGGACCCCCCTCACTGTCTTACTGCTTCGCCCAGGCTTCCCTGAGGCCCAGGAGGCAAAAGGGGGCAAGGGGGGGGTCACCACCCCCCGTGCACCCCTTTTTGCCTTCTGGGCCTCAGGGAAGTCCCTGCTGTTTTTTCACTACTGGTTCAGCTGAATGGTAGCATTTTTTACTACAGGTTCGCCTGAACCGGGCCGAACTGGTAGAACACCACCACTAAACTGGCATGTATTTATGACAGTTGCAGTGTCCTGAAGCCAATGGGAAGCCAGATTCACTTAACAACTGTGGCAAGATTGCAAAATGGGGTAAAACTCACTTAATGTCTTGCGTAGCAGTGGAAATTTGGGGCTTGGTTGTGGTCATAAGTTGAGGACTTCCTGTATCAGAAAGAGCTGCTAGTGTTACAAGGAAACAATAGAGTAGCAAATTATGAGATCTCCTGAATATCATAAATTCCATAGTTAAAGTTTTCCGTATGAGGTTTAACTCTATTTATAACTCAAGTAATTTTTTTTTTAAAAGACTCATAACACAATAAAGACCAACATATTTATTATGGCATATATATGGTTTTATGGAGTGAAATCCACAATATCAAATACATGAATCATTTTCTGGTATCATCTGCAGATAAAAGTGATTATTAAGTTCAGAAGGAAATGAAATGTAGAAAAGTGTGAGGTGACAAAAAAGGACACAGTGATTATTATCATTGGTTTTTGCTATTATCCAGAAAACTGAAATATAGTTGAATATAAAGTGATTCCAAGATTGCTATTTTGTACCAGCAACTCAAGGTAAATTCTTACACTTTCTCCATAAAATATAGTGTTGCTTACAAATTGTTACTATGTTGTGTATAGCTACATCTTGGCTACTGGAAACCTGTGGTGTGGATAGTAGGCAGAAAGCTAGACATTTGTCTTTAAGGGAGAAAGGTGAAAAATAAACAAACATGTTGACCTCACAACAAGGGTTTGGTGTCTTAACATCCTTCATATTAAGAGGATAAATAACATAAGACTCAGAGTACTATTTTCAATGTGTTGTGTTGTGTACAGTATATGGCATATTTCGGCCACATGTTTCTAAAATGCAGAAATTGAAAGGGGTTCTGAATTACCATGAATATTTGTTTTGCCCTTGGATTGTTAAATTAATATCTGATACTATTTATTTGCCTGTGTAATATGATCTTCAAAGTTAAGTCAAAGTCACCTGGACACCTTATTAGTTTACAAATTAGACTTAGCACGGCTTTTATATGAAGATGTAATTATCTGTTCTTGTGTTGGATGATCCTCCACAGCTTTCTCTGATTTACTTTTAGAGTACGAAGATATAAACTATTTGCTCAAATGTACCATGGAACTATAGGAGATAGGAGCATTTAATTCCAAGAAAAGAACTACATTCTAAGCCATAGATTAAAAAAAAAAACCACCCCCAACAACCATATATTTCTGTAGTAGTACTATTAGAACACAACAAGTACAACAAACTCTGAACAAAGCCAAAAGCCAACCAAATTGAACATTTTGTTTCCATGAGCTTTACAACAGCCCATCAGCAAGACCAATGCCACTTGTATAATCCCAATTGTGTTGCTAACAAGTGATACTAAGAGATATAAGGAAAGATATTGAAGGTAAGGCAGGATCCCAATGTAGGGCTCCTGTAATACTCCCCAATGTAGCATGAAAAACCTTAGCAAAGAAAATGGATATTCTACCCTTCAAGGGGTCTTAAAAAATGGCCTTAGCTAGTCTAATAGCCATATTCCCATCCTCTCTCTTGAATAAGAAGTGGTTCACACATTGTTGTGGATGGACTTTAAACCGATCATCGATTAGTGGACTTCCCCAATTGGTAGAATCATTTTAAAGCTGTCATTGGTAACGCTAGGATTACTTTTATTCCGTTTTTCTTTTCTTTTCCTTCTCCTTTGCCTGGTGTTCTCATTAAGTGCTATTGGTATAACACAGTATATAATCTTAACATTTATGCATTTGTTAATTCCCTTTTAAAACTCTAGCTGGAAAGCGGAATGATATTATTAGGGAGTTATGCATTATATGAAAAAAATATTTCTTTTCAGTTGCCTTGAATTTCCCACCCTTGAGTTATAGCTTTTTAAAAACAAAAGGGGGAAAAAAAAACAGTTTTTCTAGTCATTGTCCATATGTTTTATGTTTTGACCGTTTAGACTATCAGCAAGAAAAACAGGGAAATCTGCTCCAGGATTCTGGGCGAAGTCTAAGAGTGCAGGTTGGCAGACTTTCTAGAGCAGTGATCTGTTTTCCAAATTAAACACAACTTGTCCCAAATCTTTTTAAAAAATCAAGTGAAGTCCAAAAAGCAGAGCAAGGAGAGACATAGAAATGAGAGACATGTGAAGCAAAATCCTGTAGAATAACTTTGCACAGTCAACATCATTAATGGTAAACACAGATACAGTACAACTCTCAAAAAAGACCTGTAATTGGAGATCATTTAGGTTTTGAAATAAGACAGACTAATTTGGAAATAGATGGGTAATCAAGAAGAGAGAGACAAGTTAAAAGAGCTCCATGGCTACCACTGGATCAGTTCAGGAAATTAGAGCCCAATACATGTAACGGCCACAAATTGTACTACCTGAGGAATATAGGGGTGTTGGTAGTCTAGTGTTTTGGAGAACTGTTATTTGAATGGCATATCTTCTTGGTGGTAGTGTGCAAAGAAGCTGCAGGATTTTTTTATTTTTTTTAGGGATGAGAATATGATAAAAACCTCAGGAAAAAAAAATCAGACATCAACGGATTGGTGATAATATAAAGAGAGGATGACTGTGGGAGATAAAAATAACTCTCCTAGAAGGTGTGTCCTTTACCAGCCGATGGCTGATATTTTGCTCTTCTAAGTTAAGGGAAGCTTATCTTTAAGTTAAGATAAAAATTACTGTTAGGGAGCTGTTTGCATGTTTGAAAAAGGAAACTGCTCCAGATTTGCCATGGACATAATTTTGGTAACCCCTCATCACTTATCAAAAATATCAAAATTGAAAATATCAGTCTAATATATCTGGAGAAATACTATATGATCCATAGGCAATGCAAGATGACAGGTTTTAAAATGGAAGATGGAAAGTGGGTCCTTTGCATGTAGTTTTCCCCAAATAATAAAATTGAACTAAACACGTTCAAGAATTACTATAGATCATTCTTAATAAATGTCACAAAAATACAGTTTGTGAGAAACATTTTATATTTCCTGCACGACATCAAGGGTGTGAAACTTAGCTCCTCCTCATAAAGTTTCAGCCCCACTAGGTAGAAAGCTGGAATTTGGTATCCAAATAGTCCAAATCGGGTAAATTCCTTGCAACGTGTGAAAAGCAGGACAGCCGTTTGTTTATCAGCCAAAACCCACCACGTGAACTTTCTTGTTTCCTCAGGTCAATACCGCCGCCCCCTTCCCCCCCCCCGCCTTCAAGCGCAGTGCCAATCGGAAGAGGGACGACTTGGTGCTCTGTGTGAAAACCCCGATCGCCGTAAAACGTTGACACGGCCGGGCCAGAAGGCGAGGAGGGTGTGCCTCGATTTCCTAACAGCCGAGGCGCGTTTATCGCTTGGCTTGCAAAACGCACGCTCGACTCTCTATCTAGCCGAGCCTCTGCGAAAGGTAGCGCGGGGTACAGCGCTCGCGCGTGGACAGGCTCACCGGCCCACCGGCTGGCCGAGGGGGTCCCATTCGGATCCCATCCCGCCGAAGGGAATGCCCGGGCGACTCTCGGATGGGAAAGAAATCCGTCAACGGCGAGCCTGCTGGGTCAAAGGAAACAAATAAATAAATTAAGAAGTGGTGGGGAGCGGGAGGAGGAAAAGCGCAGGCAGCCTTTGGTGAGTCAGCCAAGCTGAGCAAGGCGCGCTGGTCCTGCTCTGCCTCTGTTCTCACCGCTCTTAGGGCGGCTGAGGCAAAACGAAGCCTCCCACTGGCTCGCGCCGGGGCGTCCAAGGAACGCCAGGCTGG